TCGAACTCACAGAGATCCGCCTGCCTCTGCCTCCCGAGTGCTGGGATTAAAGGCGTGCGCCACCACCGCCCGGCGAGTTTGGTAGTTTTGAGTGTTGTCCGTATTCCTGAGTTCTGAAAGATGAGGACTTCACTCCCTCAGCTTTAAGTGCCACCTCTTCATCTTGTGTTGATCCAGGATGCTTACTTGATTGGGAGGAAATTCTACCAAGCCTTAATTCAACGGAATGTATTGCTAAAAACATTTCTGTTTGATTGCTTTGTTAATATAAAAAGCTTTTGCTGCTTAAATGCTTTTTCAGAATCTTTGATTACTGATTTATGGAGCCATTTTCTATGTTTTATCATGGTATAAAATGCTTCTGTAAAAGTAGTTGTTAATTTTGTATTCATTGAGCTTGCCTTGATTTATGAGATAAATTTCTGAGCAAAATGAAGACTAAGATTATGCATTTACAAAGCTAACTTGGAAAAAATTGGTAGTGGCAAGACTGAACAAGAGCTTAGATGGTTGAGTTGTAATAGTTGGTTTGTTTGGAGTTTTAAGATTCAGGTCTCACTGTGTTAGCTTGGGGTGGCCTGAGATTTATGATCCTTGTGCCTTAACCATTTTACTCCTGGGATTAAACAAAGCCTGTGCCTTTACATGTTCTATGGGATTCTGGTGTGGGGAATGTGCTTATGGCAGAGGAGTAACTCTTAATATACTTGTTTAAGCAGAATTAGTGATGAATCCTTAAATTCAGCACCAGTTGGTAGCCACAATTAAAAAATTGTTTACCTGTTTAATCACAGATTTTATTGCCATTTTAAAATAACTAACTATAAAACAGTTTTCTTAGTAAGCTATGGTATACATTTTAACACATGAGAAAAGTGAGAGAGAACTTGGCTTTTGTGAACTATTGGTATAGGGATTTTATTTTATTTTGTTGTTCTTTGGTTTTTCAAGACAGGGTTTCTCTGTGTAGCTTTGGTGCCTTTCTTGGAACTCACTCTGTAGCCCAGGCTGGCTTTGAACTCATGGAGATCCCCCTGGCTCTACCTCCCAAGTGCTGGGATTTAAGGCGTGCCCAACCACTACCCGGCTGTATGGGGATTTTAATGGTGCTGTTTACTTACTGTCTGGATTTCAGGGGTTAAGAGCTAAGCTGTGTACAGATAAACTAGAGCCTCTGACTCCTAATACCATTTGAAGGACAACCTTGTAATGCATTTATAAAGCCTGAAAAATCATAAACCCTTACATAGTATCTCTTTGGAGTATGTTTTCATACATACATTGGTTGCTCCCATTTGAGTTAAACTTGACTTTTTTCTTAAGTGCAATTTGCAGCTATTGTCCTGATAAAACTGATTCAAAACAGGCCATTGCCCTACTTAATCACCTTAAAATTTCTCACACTTTGAAAATGTAGTCGATATTGAACTTGAAGCAGTCTTGCATCATTACTTGTTACTGTTAATGGTGTTACTTCTGCCAGCTATTAATTATTTAACATAAAGTTACAGAATAACAGTAACTGATTTTGCTTTTAAGTGAAATAAAATATAAAATCCCCCCCCCTTTTTTAACTCTTGATAGCCTGATACCAGGGAGGTAGTAATGTACTTCATTTCACATTTTTTTTTCAGTCTTGTGTTAACTCAGGTTGGCCTCAGTTCACCTGTTTAGTGGATGGAGGATGTCCTTGAAGTCTTTATCTCTACATTCCTCTACTCCCACCCCCATATAGTGTTGGGCTTACAGGTGTGAGCTACTACTCCTGGCTCAACATGACAGATTAGATTGTTTTATTACCTTCAAGTAGTTATGCATAAATAGGCTCTTTGTTTCTGAGCAGGTTGTATATTGAAGTATTCAGGCAGTGCATTCTCTAGAGTATAAAACTTGGAACTTGTCTGAAAATGAATTGAATATTTGAGAACGTGTTTAAATGATATTCTACCCATATACTTACTGTACAGTCATTAATAGACATGTACACCTTGCTGTTTGAGATAAGAATGTATCCAAAAAACATGCTAAATTTCATAGAGGACATTAGCATTACTTAACTGGCAGATTGTAACACAAGCCAGATTGCACTTGCCTCTAACATGACCCACTCTAGTGGGTGAGGCAGAATGAGCTCCGTAACCAAGACTTTATTTTTTTAAAAAAGAAACAAACTTACATGATGTACATGAGATGACTTTTTTTAATGAGTGGCTAGGTGTCCCTTCCCCCAATATGAAAAATGACTTCTGAAAACAGCTGGGGGGACATTCCCACACCGGCCTTGAATGTGGTTTCTGAGTCTCGTTCCCTCTCTGTGGCCTTCCAGTCTCATAGGATCTGCATTGACTGAGCTGCCTATTTAATCTTAAACCTGTTTTTTTGTTTGTTTGTTTGTTTGTTCTTTTAATATTCACTTGGAAATTGAGCTAATTTGGGGTTTGCTTTTTTTGTTGTTATGGGGGTTTGTTTATGGGGGTTTGTTTTTTGGTGTTTTTTGTTTTTGACCAGGGGTAGGTGATAATTAAGCAGATGGATATTCTTTGTGTATTTGTTTTTAGTGTGTTGACCATAAATTTAGCAAAGGCTTTACACAGAATTTTTCTAGGTCTTTGTTCATATTAGAGCTTTATAGTAAATCTTTCAGGATCACATTGGTTCTTGTCATTGCAGGAAGTTTCTTCTGGGAGGCTGATGAGGTTTGTGCCAATAATGTCTATCACTGAAGTTAAGTGCATAAGTTAAAGAAGAAAAAGTCAGACCTAAGAATATGTTTTGTGTGTGTGTGTGTTTTTTTTTAAGTTGTGTTAGTTTTAGGAGCTTTGTCTAGTTGCATATAATTAGCATAACTTGGACAGCATAAGATTAATGCTTTAACTTGTTAGCAGGAGTTTAAAAAGCTGGTTTCTGTTGCCAATAGTTGGTTGGAAGGGAAAATGGAGATGCCACAAGTAAAAGGTTTTGGATGTGCAAAACAGTTTTGATTTTATTTCTTACAAACTATAGGACTCCAAGCCCTCTGATCCTTGATCAGAACTACATAAACACCAAAAATCAAGTTATCAAGGCAGAAAGGAGGGTGCTAAAGGAGTTGGGATTTTGTGTTCATGTCAAGCATCCCCATAAGGTGAGTTATAGAATGCAGAAATTACATTTCGTAAGTATTAGGGCTTTGCCTAAAATTTTGACTTATGTGGAGAGTTCATCTGAGTTTTCAAAAGCTTTCTTTTTAGGTGTTGATGTTTGTCAGTAAAATGGTACTCAAAACAGGCTTTGTTATTTGTAATTGTGTGATCGTGAGTATTCTTTGTGGTTAAGTTTTAGTTTTTCCACCTAACAAACTCTTGTGATGGAGTTCCTTATGTAAGGAACGGATTGTACATACATGTAGAAACTGGCACGTTAAAGTTTTGAAAATGTTAGCTGCTCACTGGAAACCGTTCATAAAAGCTTTCTCTTGGCTTTCTTTCCTATTGCCCTTCTTCTGAACAGTAGTTGCAAGAATTGGGACTATTGGAGATAGCCAGCTCTGCTCTTAACTGGGTGACGCTGGCTGGTATCTTCAAGTTCTACTTTTGTAAAATTATAAAATGATGATAATGAGGTCCAGAAACACTTGCATGAACTGAAGTAGTTATATGTATTTAGTGTGTCTTGCTGGGAGCCAAATGCAAGGCAAGCATTCTATCATTGAGTTATATGTAGCTTTTAAGAAACTTTAGTGTGCCGAGCTTTACTGCAGAAATTAATTGCTGTAAGGCTTAGTATTCTAGAAATCTAGAAAATGTGCTATGGCCATTGTGTACTCTCAGCATAAATTCTCTTTTGATGAATGCGAGGGAAAAAAGTTGTGAGCCACCACTTGTATCACATTTTTATAGAATTGAGTAATGTGATAATCCACACTGAGTTTGGTATGTTTGATGTTGGCCTATATTTGTAATTGTATGGGAGTTAAAGCTGTAACTAACACTTGATGCTTTATTCATTGACCTCTGCTGTGAAAGAACCACCAATACGCTTAATGTTTTTTTCCTTTTCTCCTCAGATCATTGTGATGTATTTACAAGTCTTAGAGTGTGAGCGGAACCAAACCTTGGTTCAAACTGCCTGGTAAGTTGCTTTTTTACATTTCTTCTTTAGTCAGGAAAACAGAAGCAGAAATAAAGTAAGTTTCATTTTTTTCTTTCCAAAATAATGAAATAAGTTTGTTTTGGGGCATTTTGTTTTTGTTGTTGTTTTTTAACCAAAAGGTAAATAATGCTTATTTCTGCTTCCTGTTTTCTTGGCTTGACTAATTACTTTTAATGGAGAACTCAATTTAACTTTGTTCTTTTTTCTACTCTTTAATTAAAGGGTAGTCCATGATGGTAAGTCATAGAACTCTGCCCTCTGCACTTCAGCCCATGACCTCAGGATGGCCTGATTGGCTAGCCTGCTCTCCAGCCAATCCAGTGCAAGCTCTCATCCGAGATTCACTGAAGTGGTCCATATCCATCTGGCAGCATCTTCTAGTTCTGTCGGGGTGTCAAAAGGATTTGTATATTTGCTTCTAGAAGTAACTATGCATCATGCCTATGTATTTAATGTATACCTGTAACTATCAAAATGAATATTTCATTTTTGATAGATTGTTGTCCAGCCATTATGAATTGTTTTTTTTTTTTTTTAAATTGGGTTCAGTTAAATTTCTACGTGCAGTGTGTATAGCATCCGTTCTACCAAAGGAGGCTACCTTAACCTTGTAGCTTTAAATGGGTACCTGTTGCCATTGTAGGTTACTCCAGCTAGTGAGCCATTGCAGGCAGTGATACAAGAAGCATATAATTTTAAAAAGAAGTTCATGTTCATGTTATTTAAATACTTTTGAACTTGGGCCTCTGAGATACAGAAAGGGTAAGCAAGAAAATTGTGGTTTAACCATAAGTGATTTATATGACTGTTGATAAACAAGCATTAAATAATTCTGGACTTTCCCAGAAATAATATCTTTTTTAAATGACTGCCATGCTTCTTTTGGACTCAGTAGATAATGGTAACGTTAGAAAAGCCACATTTCTCTAATAAAATGCATGAGTTTTTAATGTATTCTGTGCAGCCAAAAAAATATAATACTTTTAACAAGTGTAAGGGTTTTTGAACTAATCCATTTATTTTCCAGCTCAGGCTTTTTAGCAAATATAAAGTTTTGGGTTTTTTTTTGTTTGTTTGTTTGTTTTGTTTTGTTTTGTTTTTTAGTTAAGGAATTTCATGGGAAAGTTTCTCTAGAAGTTTCAGAAGTTTATTTAATTAAGTTAGATCATTGCTTTTATTTATGCTTAATTGCAAAAAGGTATGTAAACAAGGCCATTATGATGTGTATTATTGCTCACTTCTCTACCTAGATTTTTTTTGAAGTTTTTTTTTCCCTTCTAACTGTAAGAGTAAATTGATGGATTCTTACTAAAAATACCTTTTTACCCCTGTTCTGGTATTGAATTTTTTTTTTTTTTAAAGAACTTGGTTGACACTGCTTTTCATTATGGATCAAGGAGAGATGGTCAGTAACTAATGGCTTGAAGTATTGTTGGAGTGGTAAACTCTGAAACTCATGTCTTCAGAATCATTACCTTTTATAACAGTATGTTGAAAGGATTTTAGGGGTAAGATCTAGATTGCTAATATGGAATTGTTGAAACGTGCTGTTCGGGGAAGGGTTAGGAACTGTTACCACAGTAAAGATGTGAGTATAAGGAGAAGAAAAAAGAATGAAGTAGATTGAGTCTCCAATTTTGTATGCACCTCAGAACAATTGATTTGCTTATGGACTAAGCTTACAGCTGAAATGTTTTTCAGGAATTACATGAATGACAGTCTTCGAACCAATGTTTTTGTTCGCTTTCAACCAGAGACTATAGCGTGTGCTTGTATCTACCTTGCAGCTAGAGCACTTCAGGCAAGTATACAGTCTGCTGTGTTTTACAAAGTAGATTCTAGGAGTTTTGTTCCTTTTGAGAAAAGTGTAAGCTTGAACCATTCTGTTTTTGATGGTTTAGATTCCATTGCCAACTCGGCCCCATTGGTTTCTTCTTTTTGGTACCACAGAAGAGGAGATCCAGGAAATTTGCATAGAGACACTTAGACTTTACACCAGGAAAAAGGTAATTTTAGTTACTGCGTTTGGTGCTGTTTGATGGCATTTCCAAGACTCTAAAGGGAATGCTAACCTGACTTTTCATCCAACAGCCTAACTATGAATTGCTGGAAAAAGAAGTAGAAAAAAGAAAAGTAGCCTTGCAGGAAGCCAAGTTGAAAGCAAAGGGATTGAATCCTGATGGAACTCCAGCCCTTTCAACTCTTGGTGGATTTTCTCCAGCCTCTAAACCATGTAAGATACAGTCAGAATTGAATAAAGTGGGAGGGAGCGCTGGAAGGGTACCTTGTTAGAAAGGTTTGCCGTTGCTCAGTTGCTTAGAGACCATTAAGAAATGGTTACTGGGGTTTTTGGATCTAAGGGTTAGAAATGTAGTACTTTGGAGTGTATTAGGAAATGGTTCTTTGTAAAACCTGTCCTTAACATATCGTCATTGTCTTTTAAAAGCATCACCAAGAGAAGTAAAAGCTGAAGAGAAGTCACCAATCTCCATTAATGTGAAGACAGTCAAAAAAGAACCTGAGGATAGACAGCAGGCTTCAAAAAGCCCTTATAATGGGTGAGTAAACCTCAAAGGCTTGAGTATTCATTGTTAAACCTTTGTGCACTCGCTAAAACAATGTAAACAATGCTGCCTGCATTTTTTTTTAGTGTAAGAAAAGACAGCAAAAGAAGCAGAAACAGCAGAAGTGCTAGTAGATCAAGGTCAAGAACCAGATCACGCTCCAGATCACATACCCCAAGAAGACAGTGAGTAATGGGGCCTGTGTGGGATGGGCTTAGGGCCTTTGAAGATTGGGGGTGGGCTTCAGGCTAGGAATGAGTGTTGGGCTTCTTTGTTTAGCAGGTTTTACGGTATAGCACCAGTTGGCTAGGATTACAAGCATGCTTCAGGATTAGGCTTAACGTAAAGAGAAATAAACTCAAGAACATACTTTGGATGTGTGTAGTGTAGGTGTGTGTGTGTTTTATATAATTTATTATCTAATGTACATTGGTATTTTGCCTGTGTGTATGTCTGTTTGAGGGTGTCAGATCAGCTTGGAGTTGCAGACAGTTGTTAGCTGCCACATGGGTGCTGGGAATTGAACCTGGGTCCTCTGGAAGAGCAGTCAGTGCTCTTAACCACTGAGCCATCTCTCCAGCCCTAGGTGTGTGTTTTTAAATATGCATAGGTTGGTTATGCACAGAAGTTACAGGAAAATTTGCAAAAGTCAGTCCTTTACTTTCACTGTGTGGGCCCCAGATCAAACTCTGGTCTTTGGGCTTCGTGGCAGGCCCCTCTACCTGCTGAGCCATCTCACTGACCTTAGTAGTGTGCCTTAATGGCATGTTGTGCCTTCTACTCTGTCTCCGCCGTGCCCCACCCCCATCCCCTTTCTGAAAAGTGTCCAGAAAATGCCCTGGGGGTATATGTATATAAAGCTGTTTATAACATGAAAACATTCTTTACATTCAGTTTGTTAGAAATGTGACTATTTCATTAGTGTATTAAAAGCCTAAGACTTCCAGTCAGCTTTGTAATTGGTTTGCAGGTTCTGGTGCTTGAGTGGCACTTGATCAGGTGAGAGATAACTCAGTAAAAAAAACCGTTGGGACACATTGGTGACCCTCCCCTCTTTACTGGAATATAGGCATAGGATGTTTTGTGTAACAGTAAAGCTTCAGTTGAGAGATCAGGATGGGGAGACTGAGGAACACGTCAGTTAAGCTTTTCATTACTCATAGCTGATTGTTTTGAACTTGCTAATGACCAACAGTTACTAATCTATTGCCAGTAGAAATCATAACTAAACTTGAAATTTTTATTGTCTAAGTTATAATAATAGGCGAAGTCGATCTGGAACATACAGCTCAAGATCAAGAAGCAGGTCCCGCAGTCACAGTGAAAGCCCTCGAAGACATCATAATCATGGTTCTCCTCACCTTAAGGCCAAACATACCAGAGAAGATTTAAAAAGTTCAAATAGACATGGTCATAAAAGGAAAAAATCTCGGTCTAGATCTCAGAGCAAGTCTCGGGATCACTCAGATGTTGCCAAGAAACACAGGCATGAAAGGGGACATCACAGAGACAGGCGTGAAAGATCTCGCTCCTTTGAGAGATCCCACAAAGGCAAGCACCACAGTGGCAGTCGCTCCGGACATGGCAGGCATAGGCGTTGACTTTCTTCCTCTGACACTGCATTGCTTCCTGGTTTTGCCTCTGTGCAGTGTGATGTATGGACTCAATCAAAACATAAAGCAAACTGATTAGGAATTGATTTATTAAAATTGTCTAGGTCTCTAGAAACACTGAGGACATTTTCTTTGGAAAAGAACTATGGTAAGGTTTTTTGCACATTAAAATGCCCTAGCAGTATCTAATTGAAAACCATGGTCAGGTTCAATTGTACTTTATTATAGTTGTGTATTGTTTATTGCTATAAGAACTGGAGTGTGAATTCTGTAAAAATGTATCTTATTTTTATACAGATAAAACTTGCAGACACTGTTCTATTTAAGTGGTTATTTGTTTAAATGATGGTGAATACTTTCTTAACACTGGTTTGTCTGCATGTGTAAAGATTTTTACAAGGAAATAAAATACAAATCTTGTTTTTCTAAACTGCTTCAAATACCTTATTGATTTAAATTTAAAAGATTTTTAATGGTAAGATGGTTTTGCACTGATTTCTGACAGGTAGTTTGGGATAAAGTCTTAACAGTATGCAGTGGTCATTGTATATATAGGAAAAGCAAATTGGAGTGGCCTGATACTGTTACAGAACCACTAAAATACAAAACTGATTTGATCTGAATGTATCTGAAGATAATTTTAAATCTTAAGTATTTGTAATAGGAACTTAACAGTTGAGCAAACCAAAATCACAGCCTAAAACTAAGACCCATCCATGGAGGTTTTAAGTGTTTTAGCATACCTGGCATTCAGTGGTACAGCTTAATCTAGGATTGTCAAAAATCAGTGAGATCATAAAGTAAAAAACTGATTACAAAGACCTGAAACAATTCATGCACAAATGGACATCGGGTATCTACTTACTAGAGGAGGAGGTACATTGGCAAAGGAGAGTATGGTGTGCTACTCAGATAGGTTAATGTTCAAACATCAAGAAGTTCAATGTATTGTGTGTATGGTGGGATAAGAAGAGGAGGCTGCAGGCTTGGTCAAGGCTGGATGAGGCAACCCTAGTAGGAGGAAAAGGGTCCCAAGAGCAGGCAGAAGAGTCAAAGACACCCCCCCCCACACCCACACACACACACACAACACCAAGCCTAACAACCACAAGATATATACAGGGTACTTAGTACAGACCCATGCAGACTGTGATTGCCACTTGAGTCTCTTAGCTCATGTGAGCCCTCCTTAGTTGATTCTTTGTTCTGGTGTTCTGTACCCCTATGGCTCCTACAATCCTTCCTCCCCAACTTCCCAGGAGTTAGTTTCCCATGCTCTGCCTAACGTTTTTCTGTATCTGTTCCCATCAGCTGCCAGAGGAAGCCTCTGATGGCAATTGGGCTAGGTACTGATCTGTGAATATAGCAGAATATCATTAGGAATCATTTCATTGACTTTTTAAATTTTTATTTTTTGGCTGGTCAGGATTTGTTCTATCCTAGGTCTCTGGGTCAGTCAGCTTCCTATTCCTGACCATCAGGGAGTTTTTGGGGGGCATGGGTTCCCTTTTATGGCCTGGGCGTCAAGTTAGACCAGTCATTGATTGGTCACTCCCACAAGCTCTGAGCCGCCATTGCCCCAGCACATCTTGCAGACAGGACAGGTTGTGGGTGGAAGGTTTTGTGGCTGGGTTGATGTCCCAGTCCTAATACAGGATGTCTTTCTTGATTACAGAAGATCCTAGCCATTCTCTCAGGTATAAGATGGAATCTCAAAGTTGTGGTTTGCATTTCCCTGATAGCTAAGGATGTTGAACATTTCTCAGCCTTTTGAGATTCCTCTATTGAGAATTCTCTGTTTAGCTCTGTACCCCATTTTTAAGTTGGAATTTTTTTCTTGATAAATAGTTGGAGTTCTTATATACTTTGGATATCAGCCCTCTGTTGGATATGGGTTGGTGAAGATCTTTTCCTATTCTGTGGGCTGCTGTGTTGTCCTATTGACAGTGTCCTTTGCCTTAAAGAAGCTTTTCAGTTTCATGAGGTCCCATTTATTAGTTGTTGATCATTGTGCCTGTGCTATTGGTGTTGTGTTTAAGAAATTGTCTCTTGTGTCAATTCATTCAAAAGACATCTTATTCTGAGCATCGTGCACATAGAACTGTGGGTGAGGCCTGTTTGTACCTAAACCTGCATCTGTGTTTAGAGTACAGTACCTATCAGCTCTAAAAGCAGTGATCAATCTTATATAACCTTTTCCATTACCTTACAGATTCATTACTTCATGCCCTTATTGGGGAAAATTGCACACAGGGTCTTAGCCGTTTTAACAATAATAAAAGAACACAAAAACCAAACAGCCCCATGATACTGGTCTGTTAGCTGTAACATGTTGGGGCCCAGTCAGTATATTTCTTTAGTAATCTGGCCCTTTTTGTCTCTACTCACTTCAATATAAATTATAAAATTACTTTCAGGCCATTTGTAAAAGGTATCTATGAAATTAAGGCACTTAATTTGTGAGCTTTGGGTGGGAGAGGGGGAGACAAGGGACTCAATGGCGTGCCCTGGCTGTCCTGGAACTCTATACTGGACTAGCCAAACTTGGAGAAACCTATCAGTGTTCCCTAGTGCTGGGATTAAAGTAGTGCATCACTATGCCCAACTGGAACTTAGTGTTTACACTTAGGTCCCAAATCCATGATTATGTTGTATATATACATATGTTTCAAAATCTGAGAACACCCAAACACCTTTGGTCCTGAGTATTTGGGAATTTTTGCTTTTTCTTTTTTCTCCCTGTGGACACAAAGTCTCATGTGTAGTCTAGGCTGACTTTGAACTCAGTTCTGCCACAGCCTCCAAGCACTGAGAGGATAAGATGTTCCAACACTCCTTGTTAAGATTTTATTTCCAAGTAATTTTAGACAATGAAAATAGAGCAAAAATGCACAGACCTTCATTCAGATTTCCCAATGTTACCATCCCCTCTGTCTTTTCTGATATTTTGGAGATGTCCCTTTATAAATTCTTAAATATGAGTTCCATGTTAAAAAAAATCCACACTATAATTAACCCAAGATTAAGGTCTATTGACCTTATGTAACCATAACCATTTTTCATGTAATGCCCCATTTTCTGGTTTGGGATGTAATTTTGAATAGTGTTTGCCTTGAGTTCTTTGATGATCCCGCCCCCCCCCCTTTTTTTTTTAACTCTAAGACAGGGTTTCCCAGGTGTAGTCATGGCTGTCCTGAAACTCAGCTCTACCTGTGGCATGTGCCACATACTTATTTAGAAACAGGGTTCTTGATCCTATCAAATGTTGGTATGTGAAAGACACCCCTCTGGCTCCTGTTTTTATTTTTTATTTTAGACAAGGTCTTGTGTATCCAGGCTGGTACTTGGCTAGCCAAGTTTCCACCTCCCAAGTGCTAGGATTCCAGGCACCTACCACCATGCTCTGCCTTTGTTTTTAATGGACAATAATCAAATATGCTTATGAGGGATGGTAGCATTCAAATATATGTATACATACAGTGTACAATGACCAGGCCAGGACAACTGGCATGTCTGTCACCTCCTGACCTTGATACCTTTCAGTGGAAGCCAGTTGTTAGTAAAATATTCTTCAGCTTGGTTTTATTTGATACTTACTATGATTAGATTTGGGTTTCGTGGTTTGGGTAGGAATACAGTGGAAATGGGATCAGTTCAGTGTATGTATCATTTTAGTCCATGGTGATTTGTCTCATTAACTGCTGCTGTTAACTAACTTCAATCTCTGGTTAAGGTGCTGACAATGTTCTTTATGAAAACATTTCCCTTTTACCATTAAGTATTTTGTGGGGTCAGAATTTAAGATCATATTGTTTATAAATCTGTTTGCCTGCATGAACTATAAAGCAGTATCTCCTGGACATAACAGGAGCAGAGCAGCTTTTGTTGCCTTTCAGAGACTTGGACAAGATAAAGCAACCAACTTCTAATCTAGCACAGGGCAAGGACTGATGAACACCCACCTCTACCAGAGGCACTATTGACAGATGGCTGCTGAGGGACAGGAAGGGTCAGTTTTCGACTGGAGGCCCCTGATCAGTGGACCAGGCACCAGTGGATGGCATGCTCAAATGCATGGCTGTATGAATTGGACTTGATGGGTTGTTAAAAAACAAGGGGGCACCGCGGTGGTGGTGCCACCTTTAATCCCAGCACTTGGGAGGCAGAGCCAGGCAGATATTTGTGAGTTCGAGGCCAGCCTGGTTTACAGAGCAAGATCCAGGAAAGACGCAAAGCTACACAGAGAAACCCTGTCTTGAAAAACAAAAAAACAAAAGAAGACAAAGGAGGAAGTTGGGAGGTGGGAGTGAGTGGGAAGTGGATCTGGGGGGAGTGGGTTAATATGAATTCTAAAAGAACTTTCTTGTAATTCCAGCGTTCCCCATGCCAGTTCCATTCCACAGTATGTTTCCCCCTTCGTTTATTCCTCATGTTAGTGCAACAAAGTACCTGACAAAAATGAGGGGCTGGAGAGATGGCTCAGGGATAAAAGCACTGGCTGCTCTTCAGAGGACTGAGGTTCAATCCCCAGCATCCCCAGCACCCACGTGGCAGTTCACAGCCATCTGTAACTCCAGTTCCAGGGGATCTGGTGCCCTCACACATGCAGGCAAAACACCAATGCACATGAAAGTAAATATCTTTGAAAAATAACTTGAAGGATTTATTGGGTTTATGCTTATAGTCCCAGGGAATCAGGTCCATGATATCCATGAAGGTGGGTGAGGAGTAGGCAGCTAGTTACATTGTGTCCACAGGAAGCAGAGAGTAATGAGAAGCTGTGTTCGGTTTACTTTCTTTATGCAGTCCAGGATCCCAGCTCATGCAATGGTACTGTCCACATTAAGGTGCATTTTCCTACATCACCCTAATCTAGATAACCCTTTACAGACATTCTAAATCCCTCAAGCTGATAAGATTAATTGCCCCCCCTACCCCCCACCCCCATCTGGTGGATGGGTATATTCTTGGTCAAGTATCTCAGCATGGCCAATAGAATGCATCGTAACAGTTCTTTGAGAGCTGGGAATTGAATTCAGGACTTGACACACCCAGGCAAGCACTCTGATCACTGAGCTACAGCCTCAGCCCTAAAATAGTCCTTATGTTCCATTAATAATGAACTTGCTTTTTTTTAGACATAGGAAACCAAGCAAGTTGACTGATGCACACAGTGTGCACCATGTAGGAGAAACCTCTACAGAATAGAACTCTGAACAGTGGCCCAGAATTTAGGCTTACACAGCATCTTCACTAAACAACAGGATTTTAGAGAGGTGGCAAAATGGACATTAGGTTTGGCTTTTGGCTTTCACTGGTAGGGCATTATGAAAAGTGAGTATGGAAATAATAATGCAGAAAGGCCTGTGGAATCCTCTGGTGCCACATCTGAACTGCCAAGAGGTTCTTCTTCAGTGATTTCTGTCATTC